AGCAAGAAACGGTCTCTTTTTGGGGCATCTGGGTGACTCAGTTGGTTAAGGATCCCACTTTGGCTCAGGTCATGACCTCACGTTCATGGGTTCGAGGCCCACATCAGGTTCTGTGCCGACAGCTCAGAGCCTGGAGCCTGCTTCAAATTCTGTGTCTCCCTCTCTCTCTGCCCCACCCCTGCTCACGCTCTGTCTCTCTCTCTCTTTCTCTCTTAAGAAAATAAATATTTAAAAAAATACAAAAAAACCAACTGTCTCTTTTCTACAGCTTGATGGAGCTTTTTTCCCCTATTTTCTAGACGGTATACTGCCCAATTCATGAATCATTTAATAAAGCCAATTAGATCTTCCAAATATACTCAGTTGAGTTTTTGTTATTAAACAGTTTTTTGGTCACCATTTTCTTTGCAACCTCTACTCCTGTCAATATGTTAACCCTATGCACACTCACATCTTGTTCCCCTTAACTGCCCTCCATACCCATGATCCTTCATGATTATCACTCTCTTGCAAACACACAATCCCCTTACTCTTTTCTTTCTTTGTCATCCCTCTCATGGAAAACAAACAAACCAACCCAAAACAACAAAAAAACGAACTGTTCATCTCTTCTTGAGAAATTGGCATATGTAGGCTGGATGGTTTTACTTTAAATTCATGATCAGAAACATCGAGTAGTGTGTCAGCAACAATCCTTAGTATGCATCTCCATTGCTTTCACACTCTTTAAGGTGTCTCTTTCCTACTTTCCCCTCTTATTTCAAACCTCCCCCAGTCTCTCCCTCACCTCACTCTTAGCTGATGACCTTGACTCCAATTTCATTGAGAAAACAGGAATGATCAAGGAGGAAGTTCTTTATAATCCCCCTTCCAAGTCTACAAGCCTACCTGTCCACGCATCCATCTTCTCTGTCTTCTCTCTTAATATCTTGTAGAAATGCCACTGCTATCAAAGGCACTCCTGCTTGTACTTTAGATTCCATTCCTTTTTACCACAAGGATTTTGCTCCTTTGTTACCTTCTTTCTGTCTCCTGTATCATTAATATTTCTCTCCCTATTGGATCATTCCCATTAATACACTTCCTCTATATCTCTCATAAAAAAATACAAAAAAGATATAAATGTAAAAAACACAAAACAAAATCCTCCCATAATCTCCTCCAGTTATATTTTTCTGTGGCTCTTCACAATAGTTTCTCAAATACCTGTCTTCACTTTTCCCATCCCTAACTTAGTCCTGAACCATTCCAAATCTGTCCCCATTATTTCATTGAACTGCCACCTACAAAGTCAATATTGATCTCTATAGTGTCAATCCAATGAGCCCTTCTCTGTCCCCATATTATGTTCTCTTAATAATATTTTAGACAGTTAACCACTTTTCCTTTCCTGATGCTTTTTTGGGGTTTTCGTGACACTGCACTCTCCAGGTTTTCCCTTTCTTTACTCCTCCTTTTTAGAGACCTAAGCACTATATTTGGAAGTTTCTCAGAGCTTAATCTTGGACCCTCTCCTCTTATTACATTTTCTTTGGTGAACTCATTCTTTGTTATGACCTTGAATACTAGCAATGTTGATGATGCTCTAATTGTCACGTCTATGCCACAACCCTCCTCTCTGCCCATTGGATATCTATATATCAAGTTGCAAAACTTGAACGTTTCAATTCTTCAGGTTTTAGCTCAAATTTTGTATCATTACAGAAGCCTTTCCTGACCACTCTACAATAGCCAGCCTCTTCTTTCTCTCCAGTTACTCTCCATTATATTACTCTGTTTATTTCCATTGCCACATATATTCCAACCTTTTTAACTTTTTGCTTATTTACTATCCAGCTCCTTCATTAGATTATAATCTCATTTACAGGACTTTCACTAATTTGTTAGGCACTGTTCTAAGCACTTCATAAAATCCTGTGATTGATTTTGCTTTTTTGACTCACATATTTATCAAAACTAAGAAAAAAAAAGAGTAAGCTCACATTGCTTCATTTCCATTTTGGTCAAATTAATAGAAGGCAGTATAGTGAACTGATTTTCAATCTTCCAGTCCCATGAGATATCTCAATGATTTGGTAACTAGTACTATTATGTTTCATATATGTGATATTTACATTTGCTTAAATGTACCCTCACTTAAATATTTCTTATTGAATGAATATATCACAACACATTCGAGAAACTATTAAGTAGAGAGACAAAGGTAAAGTTGTTTGACAAATTTCCACCATATACTTTGAAGAGGTGGGTGCTTAAAGAAACAGGTAGCTTCAACTAGCTTAGTCAAGCTGGACATTAGCATCTAAAAGACAGATGGATTTGTTCAAAGTACAGCATTATTTCTGGCAGAGCACCAGGCAGTTCATCTCACATGAGGTGTTTTTTTTTTTTAATTTAGGATTTGTCCTGTCCTGATATTATAATCCCTTTCTTTTGCGTTTGCTTTCTTCTGAGAAGCAGCATTATAACTGGATTTAAAAACATTTAATGTTTATTTATTTTTGAGAGAGAGAGTGAGTAGGGGAGGGCAGAGTGAGAGGGAGACAGAGGATCCGAAGCAGACTCTGCTGACAGCAGAGAGCCTGATGCGGGTCTTGAACTCATGAACTGTGGAATCAGGACCTGAGCCGAAGTTGGACGCTTAACCAAGTGAGCCACCCAAGCGCCCCTTAAATAGAAAATAGTATCATGTAAATATATATATATACATATCAGTTTTTTCTTTTTTCATATCATACAGTTCTGTCAACAGGCAAAAAGGAAAAGGCATTTTTTAGAATTTTCTCAAATAATGATATATCTAAACCCTTAAAAGCTAAATATAATGTAGTTACTGAAAAAGTGAAGTTTGAATTATCAGAATGCAAAAATGATGGCTTCTTCAGAGAAATGTATTTCTTGCAGTTACAGATTGCAATGATACCCCACATTATAAGGCTCCGGTGGCTTTTGACATCTTTCTTTGGAAAGAAAACAATGGGGAGCATTTTCAGTTTATGAAAAAGTCTAGGCATAAAGGCAGTAGGATACATCAAAAATATCTTGGGTTTTCAGTTAGATTTGCATATAATGCTATGCTTACTAGTTTTGTGGTATCAAATTAATCTTTCTGTGACTCAGTTTCTGTAAAATGAGAATCCTAATACTTACCAACAGTATTATTATGATTATTAATTAAAACAAATTTAAAATAAGCAAAATCTCCATAAAAATGCTCTCCTCTTGGGGCACCTAGGTGACTCAGTCCGATAAGCATCTGACTTCAGCTCAGGTCATGGTCTCACAGTTTGTGGGTTTGAGCCCTGCATCTGGAAAAAAAATTTTTTTTTTAATGCTCTCCTCTTTTTTGATCCCATGTATTCAGTTGGTTTCCTTTTAATACTCGATGAAAGGCAAAAGTTGACTTCAGTTAGGATAAGCAGAATTTATTTATTAACAGCATAGGTAAATTTTCTTAGGGTAGCCAGACAAAATGGGAAATAACTTTTGAAAAGAACACTGGTGGTCATCCCCAGTAAGGTGTTTTGGGACAGTTCTCTCCTAACTGTTTATCAGAGGTACAGAATTGTAGTACTGTCTTTCTCTTTCACTACCCTTTAAATGATTGACCTCTTGGCAGTGTTTTGGGGGAAAAAAATTAGGTACAGGAAACATTAACACTTAACTTGTGAAGGCAATTTGCAAGCTAAACGGGATAGGAAAATAGTAAATAGAAGGAAATGGGCAAAAGCTGAATATAAGTGAACCTAGACCTGCCTCAAGTAGTTGAGGTTGGTAGCAGCTCATTTTGTGGGCTTGTATATCGGGTGGGGCGCCACATGTCAAGCAAGAATCAAGACCAGTTTGGCACCTTTGTTCCTTTGGCTCCTGATCAGCCAAAGCCAACCTGTACGAACACCCGGTGAAATCATGTTGGCAGATACAAGCACAGTTTCAATAAAAATCGGAGGCCGGATACACAAACTCAATTAAGTTGTGTCGATAAACTAATACCCATTTTAAGAAGCTGACTTCGTTTCACATTCGGAAGAAATGACAAGACTAGCCAATTGTGACTACAATAATGACTTCATGGAGGTCATTTCATTGTAATTTTTAAAATTCGTTTGCTAGAACAGGGTACCTTCTAAGACCTGTTGAGAAAAAACCTTGATTCTTCTTCACTCTGGGTTGTTTTTACGTGGAACACCTAAAAACTGCTTCTGGAAATCCCCCCCACGGGACTTTAGTAGTCTTTCTAGGGCACTCAAACCTAGACCCATTCCTAACCAACCTGTACCTTCTTCACCAGCCATATTCTTTAGCTTCTCCAGTTTCTAACTTCCTAAGTCTTCAACCTCACCCCTTGAATTAGTCCAATCAAACTTTCCCTTCTTAGACCTCTTCCTTACGTTCGCTCCTGGAAACTCCCCTGAGGATCACGTGGCCAAACTTGTCCTTAATGGCGCTCCGTAATTCCCCTACTGTTCCACCGCCCTTCCTTACCTCCTGTTAGCTCCACCCCACCCCATTCTAGCTACCCCCCCCCCACCTCCTCCCCTCCGGCCCGCAGTACCTGCGCCTGCGCATCTCTAATTCAGGCGCTTTCCCTTTCCAGGCGACCAATCCACTTCCTGCCTTCGGTCCTTGTAACACTCCTCCCCTCCGCTGGGGACCTGGCTTGAGGTGCTGGTTGTGGCTGCCCTATTTGTTGCCTGTCTGAAAAACTCGCTCCTCTTATCGAGTAGACCATTTGAACTAGCCGCTTTGTGCGTCGCACATCTATGAGTCTTTTCTCGCGATCCGCCACCCCAGCGTTAAGCCAAGGGCATCGTTATGCCGGCGGAATGGAGACCCGGACAGTTTGCGATCAGGCAAGTGCGTGGACGGCTTTTTCCTTTCCCCCACCCTCCGCCCCGCCCCCACTCGCTGCCTGGCCGCGCTGGTGAGTGGCGGGCGGGAGGGCCGGCGGGCGGAGGGAGGAGGGGGAGCTGAGGGAAGGCGGGCCCTCGGCTGCGAGATAGGTGGGGGGAGGGGAGGGGAGAGCCCGAGCGCTGGAGTTGGTGCTGGGAAACCCGGGGCTAATGTTGACAACAGGCTCGAGGTGAGTCCCGGGGAACCTCCTTCCCCTCCGCTCCAACGATCGGGAGGAAGCGGGGCTGGGGGGCACCGGCCTGGACTCCTACTCCCCGAGGGACCCGAGAGGCGACTCCGCACCCCAGCGCTCCGGGGGCGGCGAGCAGTACACGGACCGCAGCTCCGGCGTCGTCCTCCTCAGACCCCTCTCCCGGAGGCTCCCATCACCGCGGGCGCCCCCGGCCCGGGGCAGACATGAGGGGCGGCCGAGGGGGTGTCTGCCCCACATGCCCAGGCTGGGCCTCGGGGCTGAAGGCGGGGAGCCTGCTGTGGCGGGGTGAAGGTGTTTGGGGGTGTGGAGTGGCGCGAGGGGAGGTTGGGGAAAGCTCTTCGGGAGCCGGGAGGGAAGCGAGGGCGAGGAAGTGGGGAGGGTGCGTGTGTGGGAGGATGTGGAGTAGGGAGACCTGTCGGAGAGTCCCGGTCTCGGGTGGTGAGGGAGTGTGGGGTGAGAAGTTGGGGTTGGGGCGAGGATGGTCCCCGAAGGTGACCGTGGCTACCCGTGGGAAAGGGAGTTGTGGCGGGGAAGCGTGTTGGGTATGGGAATGTGCCGCCGGAGCAGGGGTTTGTGGGACATGTGTGTGGAGGGGAAGGGGTTTCGGCGTGTTTGGGAATGGTGGGCATGGGTTATTTGCTCCACTTCTGTTTAGTCACATAGACTGAGGGTTCTTCCCTTGGCTTCGTCCCAAGGCTCCTAGTACTTACTCTCGTTGGTACTTCTGAACTAAGGAGATCATCACGGGGTATTTGGTCGTCAGGTTGGCCGAGCAGAACCACCTTAGGATCTTGGGGGTACACAGTGAACCGGACCACCTGCCCGCTTGCTCTTTGAGGACCCGTATGTAGTGATGCAGCCGACCAAAGTAAAACCATCACCCTTGTCGTTTATCGTAGTTTTAGGTGTTTGTAAGAAATGTACAACTCCTCGAGAAAACCTGTTTTGAACTCTGGTGAAATGTGTAAAAACTTTGAATGAGTCCTTGATAGGAAGGACGTTTTGTAAAGCCAGAGACTGGGAGATAATGCCCCGGTGCTATTCTGCCCATAGAACATTTTGAATAATAAAGAATTAAAAGGTAAAACAGCCTTGTCTAACTCTGAAATATTTTCAGAGCAGTCTGATTGTGATTTCATACATAATCCATATGGTACTTTGTTAAAGGGATATCTTTAAAAGGGAAACATCCCTTTCTCTGCGTTCTGCCCCCCCAGTACACTCCATTGATCCTTGTTTTACTAACTAATAAGGTAGTTTTACTTTCTTTTAGGCATCGAGAGTATTTTTAGAAAACCAACTAAAATATACAATCCAAGAGCCAGGACTCTACTCGGGGAGCTAGGAAGGTGGTTTTAAAAGCATGGTTTCCTTTTAAGGACTGGCTGTGATTGTACTCCGTAATTTGTAAGCTAATCATATTCGAATTAAAAGATCACTCGTATTTATCTTGATTATTTTAAGATGCAGTCTATTTAAAATTTTAGTTTCTACTTGAAAAACTTTTTGAAGCACTTCAGATACAATATTTGGCTGTTTATTAAAGCATGGATTTATCAGAATAGTTTAAATTTTGGCATTTCACTAAATACAGTTTAATTGACAGTACAAGTGCGTACTGATCTAAATTACGTTGTTTGTAAATTTGGCTTTTAAAATCTTGAGTCAGGGCATTTAGTGGAGAAGAGCACTGGACAGTGAGGCCTGACTCAGCCATTAAACTAGTGTAATTGGATGGGTCACTCTTCTGCTGTCATGTCAGTGTAAAAATTGAGAATTGGAGTGGAGAAAGTCTAGTAGTCCTAACCCTAAAAACTCTCGTCTTCCAGCGAACTTTTCAGTGTTTGGTGTGAAAGAATAAACATTTATTGAACACCTTCTGGATGCTAGCTGCTTGGTTAGTAGTTTAAGAATTGTCTCTCTGTTAGTAGTTTAAGAATTCTCTGAGAGAGGTAGCAGTGCCTCCATTTTATCAATGGGTAGACTCAGAGAAGTTGCCCAGTTCCCATAGCTAGCAGGTTGCAGAGTAAGCGTCTGATTTCAGAGCCTGTGTTATTTTCACATGTTGCATTGCCGTCTTTACATGAGCCTTTACATTGTCATCACATTTTTTTGTTCACTGAAATTTAGTTCCAAGTGTACTCTGGGTGTGTCTGTCATACAAAGATGAGGGGATTCAAAGAATCTATCAGTACCAAGACTTAAGAGTCTTACTGAGGATCTGTTTTATCATGCTGTAGAGCAGGACCAATTCATGAGTGCCTACTACAGTTTGATATAGTAGGCACTTAAACATTTATTGAATAAATGAGTACTGTAGAGTCACAGAAGTTTAGGAAACTCTGTTAAGCTAACAAATGATCCTTTATGAATTTGTCAGATTCTAAGTGAATTTCTTAATGTTTTTGTAGAACTTAATATGTAGTCTTACCTTGATAAATGAGACATTACTTGTAAATTTTGATGCCGTTCTTTTTTTTAAAAAAAAATTTTTTTTAACGTTTATTTATTTTTGAGACAGAGAGAGACAGAGCATGAATGGGGGAGGGTCAGAGAGAGGGAGACACGGAATCTGAAACAGGCTCCAGGCTCTGAGCTGTCAGCACAGAACCCGATGCGGGGCTTGAACTCACGGACCGCGAGATCATGACCTGAGCCGAAGTCGGCCGCTTAACCGACTGAGCCACCCAGGCGTCCCGATGCCGTTCTTTTTATTGTGTGTAGTTCCTTGTATTACTGAAATGTCGCTTGTTGATACTTCATTTCAGAAAATCCAAACTCTATATATAAACAGTATTCTATTTTGCATATAAGGACAATCTAAATAAGATTGTATTGCTACCTTAGGAATTATCATCCCTGTATGTTTTCGCTAATATCTGCCAAAAGTTAAAAACATAATGTAAAAACTGCTATTAGGGACTCTTTATTCAGATACGTTATTGTATGATTTGGCATAGTCAGTATCTATGATCAAGTCTTCTGCCTCACAGTTTGGTACGCACGGTTCTTAATAACTTTAGTTGAGAGTATGGGTTCAAATTCCTGCTCTGTCACCAGCTGTGGAGGCCTTGGTCAAGTTACTTGGTCAAGTCTCAGTTTACTCATTTATAAAATAGGGAAAATAATACCCACCTCATAAAGATTTTAGTATTAAATGAGATAATGTATGTAAGATGTTTACTGTGGTGCCAGTGAGTGGTAGCTATGAGTATTCTCCTTTAAAAGTTTGCTTGCTTTAGGGCATGGTATTTTCACATTATTTGAAGCTGTGTGAGCTGCACTTCCCAGATAGCATAAATGTTAAGGCTACCTTGCCACACAGATAAGTAATTATGCTCTTTCGTGTTTTAATGATTGCCTAAACGGGATTGACAGCTTTCTTTCCTTCTGAGTTACAAACCATTGAGGTTAACTAAAGCCTTTGGGTGTTACCGTCAAAATAAATGCATAGAACGTAGATGGCAGAGTCAAAAGAAAAAGGGGAAGAGGTAGCTGAGAAAAGATATAGAGTGTTGAATGTGCCTCCAAAAATTACTTAAAGTGTTTCTATTGGCCTAGGTTTTCTTTCTATGATAACATTTTATTGGAGTGCTGAAATAAATGTGTGTGTGTTTACGAAATAAATGTTTATTATTGCAAATGTTTTGTTTGCTAACCTAGTTTTTATTGGTGTAACTTAAAATCTATATTTGAAAATAATTAAGAATACTGTGTGTATATTTAGCTTTTAATAAACTAAGCAGTTTAAATAATTTAATTCTGTGTTTCTTAAATAGAAAGTATTTTGATTTTCTCCTGTGCAATTTGAGATGATTTAGGACTCAGAACATGAATTGCTGTCCATTAAAGAAGTTATATTAGAAAACTAGTACACAGAAAATTTATTTTTTGAAAAGAAATATGCTGAATTTTGCTGGGAAATACAGTTTTTTGTTCTACAGTTTATTTCCAGTTAATAGAGCATCTACTGTAGACTTATGCTATCCAGTAGAACTTCATGTGATAATTAAAATATTCTGTATCTGCACTGATGTGGTAGTCACTAGCCATGTGGAAGTGAGTACTTGAAATACGGGTAGTGACTGAAAAATGGAATTTCAAACTCTTAATTAATTTGCATGTAAGTAGCTACTTGTGGCTAGTGCAGTGGTTTTTAACTGGTGGTGATTTTGCTCCCAGGAGACATTTGGCAGTGTGTGGAGTAGTTTTTGGTTGTCAAACTGGGAAGATACTGCTGGTACCTCAGTAGAGAAGGCAGGATGCTGCTAAACTTCATGTAGTGCACAAAATAGTGTCAGCCCCCACCCCCCAAACAAACGCCCCAAAGAATTGCCTTGCCCGAAATGTCAGTAATGCTGAGGCTGAGAAGCCCTGGGCTGATGGTTACTGTATTGGCAGGTACAGGACAGAATATACAGATTCTATAATCATCCTTATGTTTATTTATAGATTAATTTTGACTGATGCTAATGAAAAGATTCAAAGTCTAATTTGAGATATTTGGCGGTTTCTGTATTTGAAAGTTTGATAAGGTTGAGAACGATGGCATGAATTTGTGTCATTTTGTCTGTTCATTTATATAAATTTTTTTTTAATCTTTATTTTTGAGAGAGAGACAGGGTGTGAACAGGGGAGGAGCAGAGAGAGAGGGAGGCACAGACTCTGAAGCAGGCTCCAGGCCCCAAGCTGTCAGTACAGAGCCCAACGTGGGGCTCGAACTCACAAACCGTGAGATCATGACCTGAGCTAAAGTCAGACGCTCAACTGACTGAGCCACCCAGGCGCCCCTTGTCTGTTCATTTATAGATGGCAGGAGCTCGTTTATGTTCCTGCTATAATACTTCTGTTGCACATTGTATGAAATAATGTCACCAGAATCTCTTCACCAAAGTGAAATGTTGGGACTGAAACTGATTCAGAGGCGCCTGGGTAGCTCAGTTAAGCGTCTCTCTTTTTTTTTCCAACGTTTATTTTTGAGAGAGAGCACGAGAGGGGAGGGGCAGAGAGAGAGGGGAACAGAGGATCTGAAGCGGGCTCCGTGCTGACTGCACAGAGCCTACTGTGTGAGACTTGAGCTCACAAATCAGCAGATCATGACCTGAGCTCAAGTCAGATGCTTAACCCACACTGAGCTACCCAGGTTGCCCCAAGCATTTGACTCTTGATCTCAACTGAGGTCATGATTTCAGGGTGGTAAGTTCAAGCCCCGCGTTGGGTTCTGTGTTGGGCTTGAAGCCTACTTAAAAAAAAACAACAACAAACCTGATTCAAAATATTCTCAGATGCGTGCTGAAGTATTTATGATTAAATGCTATGTTTCATAACTGATAATGGTTGAATTTGGGAGGTTGATTATATTGTGTTCTCTACTTTTGTTTGTGTTGTTTATACTTAGACAAAGGCATAGCTAATAATGATAGAATGTGGAATGTGACCAGGAAGTTATTTTATCACAGAAATAATATTCATTTTGTGTGCATTTATTTAATATCTCACAACAATGCATTAATATGTTCTGTTTCAAAAACAGTGTCACGTTACTAAAAAAAAAAGTCACTGCATCTACAATACTACAAAGAATACTGACATTCTTTTACTCTTACAGATTGTTCTGGGTAACATAATGCCAGCTGAGCGTAAAAAGCCAGCAAGTATGGAAGAAAAAGAAACTTTACTAAACAACAAGGAAAAGGACTGCAGTGAAAGGCGGCCAGTGAGCAGCAGGGAGAAACCAAAAGAGGAGATCAAACTTACTGCCAAGAAGGAGGTTATTAAGGTCCCTGAAGATAAAAAGAAGAAACTGGAAGAAGATAAGAGAAAAAAAGAAGACAAGGAACGAAAGAAAAAAGAAGAAGAAAAGGTGAAGGCAGAGGAAGAATTAAAGAAAAAAGAGGAAGAAGAAAAAAAGAAACATGAAGAGGAAGAGAAAAAGAAGCAAGAAGAGCAGGTAAAACGTCAGCAAGAAGAAGAAGCTGCCCAGTTGAAGTAAGAACATTTATTTTATTTATTGATAAGAAGGAATGGGAAGAATGAAGTGTTGGGAAAACAATGATTATTTGAAATCCGACTTCTGGGGTGCAGTTCCTTGAGAGTTGGGAGTATCTTAAGTTACTGGTTCTGTTAGTTTCACTGACCAGAAGCATGCTTATGATGCTTTAATTCCTCCAATTAAATAACAGGAATCTTTAATACATATTTTTTGAGAGGGTAATCTGAACTTTTTAATATTTTTGAGAGAGAGTGAGGGAGAGAGAAAGAGTGCGAGCAGGGGAGGGGCAAAGAGAGAGGGAGACAGAGGATCCCAAAGCAGGCTCCGTGCTGACAGCAGAGAGCCCGGAGAGCCCGATGTGGAGCTCGAACTCCTGAGCCACGAGACCATGACCTGAGCTGAAGTCAGACACTTAACTGACTAAGCCACCCAGGCGCTCCTGGATTGTTTTGATTTTTAAAATGGCTCTTTTTTTTTCATGGTCTCTGGGTTTTTATTTATTTTTATTTTTTTAACGTTTATTTATTTTTGAGAGAGAGACAGAGCGTGAGCAGGGGAGGGGCAGATAGAGATGGAGACAGAATGTGAAGCAGGTTCCAGGTTCTGAGCTGTCAGCACAGAGCCCAACACGGGGCTCAAACTCACAAGAATCATGAGATCATGACCTGAGCTGAAGTTGGATGCTTAACTGACTGAGCCACCCAGGCGCCCCTCATGGTCTCTTTGAAGTTGAAAATCTTTAGTTCTTAATGGCTGTTTGCTGAATTCTTACTATGTGCAGGACACTATAGAGTATATCAGCACATATCCTAAAGGTAGTCATAATGAATAAATTTTATGATCCTCACTTGACAGATTAATAAAATGAAGCTTGAAAAGGTTAAGTAACTTGCATAAAGTCCTAATAAACAGTGGAGCTGCTGGGTTTTTTTTAACGTAGTCAACTTTAAAACTTTGGTCCTTAAAAACGATTTCGTAGTACCTCCCATTCTTATCTTCATCTAAATCTATTTTTAACCTTGTAAAGCTATGCAAGTAGTATGATGAACTGGCAAAAAACAAGGTAGTCCTCACAGGAAAACTACCAAGATGTAGCAAAAATGGCAGCTATTGAGTAGCATGGACTTTTCATATGTATAAAAATTGTATATAATGTTCAAAAAGCTGTTTGCAAAAGTGAATTTTCATGGATTGCTAGAACAGCCCAACCACCTACTTTCCTATCAAAGTTTTTTAGTACCTGTATTTTTTTTTTAATGTTTACTTTCTCTCTCTCTCTCTCTCTCTCTCTCTCTCTCTCTCTCTCTCCAGTGTGAGTGGGGGAGGGTCAGAGAGAGAGTGAGACACAGAATCTAAAGCAGGCTCCAGGCCCTGAGCTGTCAGCACAGAGCCCGATGCGGGGCTCGAACTCACAAACTGAGGTCATGACCTGAGTCAAAGTCAGACGCTTAACCGACTGAGCCACCCAGGCGCCCCTTGTACCTGTATTTTTAATGAGGCAGTAGAGCCTTAGGTCTGGAAGGCAATAGTAGTGGCCAGTTTGGGAATATTCAGAGCCATGATTCTTGAGAGTTTCTTATATTCTACTTTAAAAAAAAAAAAATTAACAAGGAGCTGTGGACCACACAGAATGAGGCAGGTACAAAATGAGACTGCTGTTAAGTATGAGTGTGAAAAGAACCCTGGTTTTGAAGACTCATGAAAAACAGTGCAATGTATTTCACTGCTATTTTATATTAATTACATGTTGAAATTGAACTATTTTAGATTTATTGGGCTAAAAATATGTTCAAATTAATTTTAAACATTCATAAGGATATTCAATTTCACTGTTATTTTTGCTCCTCCTTCTACCCTCCTATAGAAAGAGCAAACAAAACAAAACAAACCAACCACCAAAATCTCAACTTTTTATTGGGAAAAATTCACACATACTCAAAAAATAGGATAGAATAATGAATCAGTCCTCCCAACACCCCCCAATCACTCTGTCTACCCAGCATCAACAATTACCCACTTTTTTCCCCTGGAAAAAAAGGGTATTTTAGAGCATCATTATTTCACTGGTAAATATTTGATTTATGTATTTTATTTTTTAAACTGTTTTAAAAGTTTATTTTGACAGAATGTGCTGGGGAGGAGCAGAGAGAGAGAGAGAGAGAGAGAGAGAGAGAGAAAGACAGAATCCCAAGTAGGTTCTGAACTGTCAGTGTAGAGCCCAATGCAGGGCTCAAACTCACGAACCCGGGAGATCATGATATGAGCCGAAACCAAGATTTGGACGCTTAACTGACTAGAGCCACCCAGGCACCCCTCATTTATGTATTTTAAAGTGTTTTTATTGCTGATGAAAATAGATTTAATTAATGTATATACATAGTTGTTTGTTTGTTTTATTTATTTATTTATTTGTTTATTTGTGTATTTATTTATTTTGAGAGAGCCAGAGTGTGTGCAGGGGAGGGGCAGAGAGAGAGAATCTCAAGCAGGCTCCACACCGCCAGTGCAAGAGCCCTACGCACAACTCCATCTCACAAACTGGGAGTTCATGACCTGAGCTGAAATCAAGAGTTGGATGCTTAACCAACTGAGCCACCCAGGCACCCCAAGAGATATTTTCTTAAAGTGCATTCTCACTGCTAATCTTGTATTTGTGTTTGGCTGGGAGACTTCAATGAGATACTCACATGTCCGTGTTTGCAGTGATGGATGCAATTTGCTGTTAAAATGTCGTGGCTTTTAGTGGAGAAATCATGGAAGGTTTGCTAAGGGATGGTTATTTCAGAAAGATGAAAATCTGATTTCAGAAGTTTGATGGATGCTGGTGGCGAAGAGCTGCCGATTATTATTCAGGTTCGCGGAGTTGAGTTCTCGTTAAGCTTCTATGATGGTTTATGTTTACGATTTTGTTCTGTACCTCATTGAGCCTGTCTCTCCAAAATAACAAACGCGAAAATTAAAAAAAAAAAATTAAAAAAAAAAAAAGAAATTTATATTTTAAAAACATTTTTTTTTTTTCTTTTCAACGGGGCTATTTTTATTTTTTGGGACAGAGAGAGCAGAGCACGAACGGGGAGGCAGAGAGAGAGACACAGACCAGAACAGGTTCCCCAGGCTCCTGTTGTAGCCAGAGCCCCGACGCTGGGCTCAACTCATGGATCATGGATCGCGGATCTGGCTGGAAGTCGATCAGCGCGAACCTGACCATGCCACCCAGGTTTCAAGAAATGAGAGTTTTAAAGTTACATGTTTTAGTATCTCAGAGGCCTCACAGTCGGAGAGATACCCTACCCTCCCACCCCTGCCCAAGTTATTTTATTACTTCTGCAATTTAAACATGATCCATCTTTTAATTTTTTTTTTTTTCAGGATAAATTGTTTGTTAGCCTTTTATTTTTTTTTTTTTTATTTTTGGGACAGAGAGAGACAGAGCATGAACGGGGAGGGGCAGAGAGAGGGAGACACAGAATCAGGGGTCGAGTTCCCAGGCTCTGTTCATCAGCCCAGAGCCTGACGCTGGCCCAACCAATGGAGCCAGATCGCGGACCTGGCTGAAGTCGGACGCTTAACCGACTGCGCCACCCAGGCGCCCCTGTTAGCCTTTTATTAAGGGAGTTTTATCTTATAGTTTTCTTCTGGTTCCTTTCCAGAATTTCTTAATTACACTTGAATTTTAAGACCCAAACCAAGAAAGGTACTTTATTAAAGGTTTGGTTAATGCTGAAGTATGGAAAAATGGTACTTAACATATTAAAACATTGTTTTTCTAATTTTTTTTCAACATTTATTTATTTTTGAGAGACTGAGAGAGACAGAGCATGAGCAGGGGGAACAGAGAGAGAAGGAGGCACAGAATCTAAAGCAGGCTCCAGGCTCTGAGCTGTCAGCACAGAGCCCGATGCAGGGCTCAAACCCGCTAACCGCGAGATCACGACCTGAGCCAAAGTCGGACACCCAACCGACTGGGCTACCTGGGTGCCCCACATATTAAAACATTTTTAATGCATTTTTTACAAACCTTATTCTTTATAGTCTTTGTGGACAGTTTTTTTTTTCTCTTACCAATGCTTTTACCTGTTTTAGGTATTTTAGGTATCCTTCCTAGGTATCTTGTATTTTTCATACTATGCATCATGTATTTAATCCATTTATTTTTTCACCTTTATTGCGGTAGAATTGACAAAAGTGTCTTACCCATTTCGTTTGCTTGTTGGCAGAATGATTTTTACTCTAGTTATTCAGAATCCTCCACTCTGTCACATTTGATATTTTCAGTGTACTGGGTTCTTACTATCTTAAGTCATTAATAAAATGTTTTTAAAATTAGGAAAAGGGACTCCTGTCTGGCTCAGTCAGTAGAGCGTGCAACTCTTGATTTCGGGTTTTGAGTTCGAGCCCCACATTGGGTACAGAGATAACTTAAAAAAGATATCTTTAAAAAAGAAGTAGGAAAAGGGCCTTTTGCATGGTTTGTTCCTTTTGGATGCTGATACTTATATGATTTTACTTTCTCATTTGCTTTTGCTCTTATGAAATTTGTCAGAGATGCTTCAGAATATACAAGTTATTTTATTTGCTTGTTTGTTTTTATATAGAGAGAAAGAAGAATCCCTTCAGCTTCATCAAGAAGCTTGGGAACGACATCAGTTAAGGAAGGAACTTCGTAGCAAAAACCAAAATGCTCCAGACAACCGACCAGAGGAAAATTTCTTTAGCCGACTAGACTCAAGCTTGAAGAAAAATACTGCTTTTGTCAAGAAATTAAAAACTATTACGGAACAACAGAGAGACTCCTTGTCCCATGATTTTAATGGCCTAAATTTAAGCAAATACATTGCAGAAGCTGTAGCTTCTATTGTGGAAGCAAAGCTGAAAATATCTGATGTGAACTGTGCTGTGCACTTGTGTTCTCTCTTTCACCAGCGTTATGCCGACTTTGCTCCGTCACTTCTTCAGGTTTGGAAAAAACATTTTGAAGCAAGGAAAGAAGAGAAAACCCCTAACATTACCAAGTTAAGAACTGATTTGCGTTTCATTGCAGAATTGACAATAGTTGGGATTTTCACTGACAAGGAAGGTCTATCCTTAATCTATGAACAGCTAAAAAATATTATTAATGCTGATCGGGAATCCCATACTCACGTTTCTGTGGTGATTAGTTTTTGTCGACATTGTGGAGATGATATTGCTGGACTTGTACCACGGAAGGTGAAGAGTGCTGCGGAGAAGTTTAATTTGAGTTTCCCTCCTAGTGAGATAATTAGTCCAGAGAAACAACAACCTTTCCAGAATCTTTTAAAAGAGTACTTTACATCTTTGACCAAACACCTGAAAAGGGACCACAGGGAGCTTCAGAATACAGAGAGACAAAACAGGTGATTTTCATATTTCTCAGAATTGAGAATTTATTTTGGAGCTCATACTTAAAAAGTTTCTTAAGTCTTCATGCCACTGAAAGAACTTGTGGAAAAGGGCTCATTGCAGGGGATTTCTTAACATTTCCAGGAGAATTTCAAAGTGTAACAGTTAAAGTACTCATGTTTAAATGGGAGTCTTATCATAGATTTTGTTTCTGAATTTAAAAGAAACCTGGCAAGTATATGGTGATTTTTACTTTGGGGATGTGATTTGTTCCTGTGATTTAAGAAACTCCTTACTGTTGAGGGATTTTCTTTTTCTGTCACTTAACTTATCTGCTATTATTTTTGTGTTTTGTTGTGCCCTCTCTACAACAGGTTTGCTTTCATTGTTTTGAATCTTAATTCATTGATGTCATTGTTGATACTTGCTCTTAGAAAACAAGTCGTTTTATTTCATAGTCTGTATTTTAGATCAGAAATTTGGAAAATAGTGCAACAAATTAGATGTGAAAAAATTTCTTAAATGCTACTATGTAGAGTGCATTTACAGGAGTCTCTCTCTGGGGAACATCCATTTAAAATTCTGAAGGGATAATGTATGTGTCTGTGGTAATTAGTGAAGATACCTGATTGAGGGGCCACCTTTGATTGTTACAAGATAACTATTCTGTAGCCTCTGGACCTAGGAGGCATCCATAAACTAGAAGTTGATGGAAGTTGGTGAGCACTAGGTCAACTTTTGTGGAGGGTGGATTTGGAGGGCTGAGGGGTACAGAAAGGAGACAACAGCAGTAGCCAAAGTATTTGGCTGAATACTTTCATCTATTTAAAGTGCATGGTTGAGTCTGAAATTGCTGTTTTTCAGGAATTAGTATGGGAGAGGATAATTTTCTATTTCCATAAGGTCCTTCCACAGTGGGGAAGGACCTACTGGTTTAAGTAGTTACCACTAGAAGGTGATTGACTTAACTAAAGACTAGTAGTATATGCCAGTAATACAGTTAGGTCTGGGTCAGGATAGGTTCAGAGACTGTATGGCTAAACCCTGGTGGTTGAGGATCATTCAAGAGGCGAGAGTGTAAGATGGCAATGGTGTTCCTCAAGGTTTCTTAAAAAAAAAAAAAAAAAAAAAATCTTTGTTTTGTGCTTTTGATAGTGAGGACTGTTTTAAACTTTGAATAGGCAACTTCAGGCTGAATTTATAGTCAGTAATGAGTTTAAAAGGAAAGTAGTGGTCCTCTTAATAATTCTCATATATTCAAGATCTTAATTATGACTTACATAGTGTTTTGTCATTTTCCTAGTCGTTTTCTTTTTCCCATATGTTCTACCTAATACATCACAACTGATTTTGTAGGTATGCTTTGATTCCTTTTTATTGGCTACTTTAAAGGTTTTGTGTGTGTGTTTATTTTTGATTGGCCTCACAGAAGCTTAGAGGGTGGAGTCTACAGTGATTTAATCTAATCACCCAATGAAGGAATCCATTTTACAGATTATCTGACAAAGTATTCTTCCTTTGAAAACCTCTCAAGGGAGCTTAGAGCCATTTCTGTGTTGGACACTCCTACTTACTAGGAATTCAAGCAGAAAATTAACTCCATAAAATGGTTCCCTTTGATGTACTTCTTTTTTCTGGTTCAGATGGAATAAAGCTGCTGAAAGTGGGGGTCCATGAACTGTTTACCTGTTCACAATGAATTAAGTATAGAAGCACACGAAGCATTTAGACATCCTTATAGCAGTTTTCCATAGTTGTGGTATTGTTCCTGTATTTTATAAAAGCACCTGCAGTGATTAGAAAAAAAAATAATTCCTTTACCACAGTTTGAGAAGCACTGATATGGGACATGTCTCCTCTTTTCATGATAATATCTCAGATATTTGCAGACTGCCAGGTGGTTTCCCTTTCATCTTCTCAAGGCTAAATACCTCCTGTTCCTTCAGTTTGTTCCATGATTTCGACATGACTATCCTTAGGACATTTGTTTTGGATGCATTTTTTCCTGCCTATAATCTAAAATTCCATTAGTTTCTATAGCTGCTCTGTCATTCTTTTGACTGTTAGGCTTATATATGCCGAAAGACTAATTTTTCAAATGAACTGCTGCCAAATCAGTTCTTCACCTTGAATTACTATTACTAATTTTTTGAATCTGAATGCAGACTTCTCTCTTTTAACTTTATTTAGATATTTTTGGCATATTATTTTAGTCTAACTATAATATTGAATATTGATTATTATTATTAATATATTAGTGACTTATATTAATTTGTACTTACTTTCTGGTCATATCCAGCTTTGATAAGCAGACCTGTTCTTTAATATTATTTCAAGTGAAAATTTTGAACAGGATATAGTGTTAAGAGCATGGTTTTGTGAACTTTCCCTAGAAACTTTTATTCATTTCAATATGGAACTGTTAGGTTATTAGAGGAGGTTATTTACCTAGCAGAAATTGACCTTACCATCACAGCAGTCATTTTATCATGGGATGCTGCCTACTTAGATGTAGTAATTTGGGAGATGGGAAAGTCTTAATCATCATATAACAGATAATTAGCATATAGCTTAATAAATAACTCATGCCTAGGACAGCGTCAATTCGAGGAGCCTCTGTAGTGAAGATTTGAATACCTGACTGACCAAGACGCATGAAGAATGGATTAGTGCAGAGTCCCTTGGCCTAGTATTAGTACATTACGGTGTACTGTAAAAATGATCAGTTTCCCAAAGTTTCCCCCTCCCAGTCATTATCCAGTAGGTATTTTGAGGTTTTTCTAATCATGGGAATAAATCATGGACAATAATTTTTCCCAGTAAGGTTTCTCTTAGGCATGGTAATGCTGGAAATCTAAGTGCCAAGCTAGTGGATGTTTAAGACTTATGTAGTTAAATTACTTTAAGCCTTTATTTAGTATCTTAATGACAGTTTTAAAAAAATCAAATCCATTGTATTTTCAGTCTATGAATCCTAAATGCTTTTGGTCATTTTAATTAACTTGGGAGATGGCACTATTCATAGAGGTTGTGAAGCCTTTGTGTATACTCCTTTGTTTTTATTTTAATTTTTTTAATGTTTACTCTTGAGAGAGACAACATGAATGGGGGAAGGGCAGAGAGAAAGGGAGACACAGAATCTGAAGCAAGCTGCAGGCTCTGAGCTGTCAGTACAGAGCCCAGTGTGGGGCTTGAACTCACAAACTGTGAGATTATGACCTGAGCTGAAGTCAGATGCTTAGCCGACTGAGCCACCTTGGCGCTCCTATACTCCTTAAGCTCTATACTTAAGAATTCTTTCAACCAATTAAAAAAAATAGAATAATAAAATCTCTGGTATTTTCTTAAAGACGCTAATGAATGAATGAATGAATGAAGACAGTGACTGCACAAGACCTGTTGAGTCTTAACTGTTCCTTTCTCATGTTTGCTGGGCTGATACCATAGGTATTAGATAGTTAGTTCTGTTTCTAAGCCCTTGAGGGATTTACAGTTATAAGCAGAATACAGCTGGCCCTAGGGTTTGGTGAATTTTAATAAATTTGAACTTACAAGCTTTTTGTACTTAAAACAATTTTTAAAATACATTTTAGTTAAGTGATTGATCCTGGGGACTTACAATTAATATTTACACATCTAAAAATATTATCTTGCAACATCTGCCAATTTAGAGTTAATAGCTTTACTTCTTGGTAAGTTTTGCTTTTTATTATGTTCAGTGCTCTATACTTGAAATGTTTTGTACTATGAGATATTATTCTCATAGAGGTAATATTACCTGCTACTTTTTGGCTTTTAATAAAAATTGAAGAAATGATTTAATTTTTATTTAGATATTACTTAATTATGTAGAAGAATTTGTTTCTTGTAATAGTGAAATTGTGAATTCAGATGTTAAGTCAATTCTTGCTTGAATAATTTCGAAGTGTCGTAATTTCTTTCTTTCTCCCTAACTGATGGGAGTGGTAGCAGAAGTTTCTCCTTTTAAGTATTGGTGAATTAGGACCTTCATGATTACATGTTCAAACAGCACTAAGTGATTTGATTGAAAGTATAGTTTAAAAAAAAAAAAAGTACAATGTAGGCTTTCCTCCATTAATTAATAAAATCAGGGAGGTTTCTTTCATTAATGCAAATTCATGCGGTATTACTTTACCAGTGATGAAACTTGACAGCACATTAACATAAAATTAAATAGCGTTGCTTTTACCTTCTGCTTTTCTCCCAGGTAAGTTGTACCTTGCCTATAGTTGTGGGTTGTTTTTTTTTTTTTTTTTTAAACAGGTGGATTGTTTGATAAATTGTGTAGTACTTAAGCGCTATTAAGATGTTCTATCACTGTACTTTATACTCAGTGAGGCTTTAACAGTTTTGTAAGTGCTCTAAAATTGTTACCTCTTTCCAGGTATTCTCTAACTCTGATTCAATGACTTTGACAGTTTAATAAATATTTGATCGAGTACATTTATGCTTACCGTGCAGTAGTGGCTTTTCACACAAGATTATAAGACATCCATAACTAAATTCTAAAATGAAACTGAAAGAAAATTATTCTCATGAAAATTTGACAAATTGCTGAGATGAAAGGTAAAATCTAGTAGCTTTTAATGGGTCTGCCTCATGATTATAAATGAGCTTGCTCATTGTGACTTATGTAGCAAGTGACAGATCGGATTCTTTCATACCTCTTCATACTGTATTTTTCACAACTTCCATGTTACTCTTCATCTGCATTTAGGACTTGTACTAGATTTTAAAGTGTCTAGTAAGCACATTAGCAGTGCACACAGTGCTTACCTAGTCAGGTCCAGATAAAAGGACCTGAAGGAATATAAAATAAGCACCTCAGTGTGAGAAGGCTTGCCTTTGATAGATGCATTTGAGAGACATTCTAATTCCAATGTTAGGTACCAAGTGGACAATTTTACTTTAATTTGGGAGGCAGTATATATGGTCCAATAGTTGTGAGCATGGACGCCGGAGCCTGGCTACGTGTGTTCACATCTTAGATTTGTCATTTACTTAGTTCTGTAGCTCTCAGCAAGTTATCTCACATCTCTGCTTCAGTTTTCCCTTCTGTAAAATGGAGTAACAGTAGCACTCTACCTTGGAGATAAATGTGAACGATGCAATGAATTCACATGTAAAAGCACTTAACAGTATCTGATTCATTGTAAGTATTCAGTAAATGTGAGTTTATTACTTGTGATATATTGCTTGCTTAATCCCTCAGAAAGTCTTGATGAGGATGTCTCTTGTACCTTTTTATGATTTTGAAAATTTGTATATTAAGCTTTGATAGCTTTTAAAATTTTTTTCATTTTTAAAATAACGCGAGACAACAGTATACAAAATAAAAGCGAGAAAGTCAAGAAGAATAAAAATGAAAAAAAAAAGAAAAACAAAAAATAGGTCTCAAGACTAGAATCATTTGAGACATTTATGACTTTTCTCATGAGATAGAATGCTCGATTCAAGAGTGGACTATTTGATATTTTTGTCAGTTTTACAGTATTGAATTAGTAATATAAAAAACACTAGAAGTCAAAGATTGACATACCTTAGGGTTGTTTCCAGATGGTGGTAGCTCATCATTGGGTGAAGGAGGTCTATTGTATTTTTATTATAATGAATCAGATTTGGAATTAATTTTGTTTTCATTGCTTGCTTTTCATATCTTTAAGATGGTCCCAGTAACTCCCTCTTGTACAATGATGTCATGAGAAGGAATGTACTCATTTATAATACCTTTAACAGTGATACTAATTCAGAGAACTCCAGTTATGACAAGGATTGGCAAACTATGACCCGCAGGCCAGATAGACCCACCACTACTTTTTGTACAGCTGGTGAGCTGAGAATAAGAATGGTCTTTACCTTTTTAATTGGTTGAAAAAAAATCAAAAGAGGAATATTTTGTGAAATACTAAAACTATATGAAGTTCAGATTTCAGTGTCCATAAATAAAGCATTATTGGAAAATAGTCATGCTCATGTGTTGATGTATTATTGCCTATGGCTGCTTTTGTGCCAGATCAGCAGACTTGAATACTTGTAACAAAGACCATATGGTCTGCAGAGCCTAAAATATTTATATCTGGCCCCTTTGCAGAAATAGTTTGCTAACCTCTGATTTATGATAGTCTCAAAAAGATTGGCTTCTATTCAACATTCTGAATATATGTGCTTCTCAAGAGATTATAATTAAAATGATATGTGATAAATCATATATTCAGCTTGATTTTACATAGTGATAGATTGCTGTGGAATTTTCCTAAAAATTTTGGTGAGATTTATTTTACACTGATGAACAGACTAGGTACTTGGGTCAAATGTGCTGTGTAATGTTTAGTTCCCTCATACAGGTCTTCTAAAAAAAGCTAAACTAAAAATCTTTTCCAGTGGGCTTCATAAACATAAAAAACTGCCATATATAAAACATTCATTAAAAAATGTGTCATTTTAATTTCATTCAAACCTCTAAATGATTCTAGGGATTTTGAATGTTCAGGTACCTATGGTGCATTTATTTCTCTGCTTAAAATTTATAGACTTACTACATCCTGTGTGTTCAGTCTGATGTTTAGTAAATGTATATTAAATAAATGGTCAAGGAAAATATGTAGGACTGTATAAGTTTTGTGTGTAACAGAACTCTTCCCATGCCATTTCATTGGTATCTTCCATTGCTTGCCAAGTTTTCAGTATAAGGTATGATTAGAAAATAAATCTACCAAAATTTGAGCTTTTTTTCTGAGGACTGTTGTCTCTAGGTCGTAACCTAAGCACATATTAGTACTGTTAACAAGTCTGATCATGGGATTGAGATTTAGGAAGTGTGAAGAGTTACCTCGGGAGCTTCAGAGTTTTAAATTGGTTCCAGGATGACTGGAAAGGAACTGGAATGCATACAAAGGCAGCTATCATAGAATTACATCACTTTTAATTGATCCAATGCAAAGTCCCAGTCAGATGATTGAAAATGAGGTTGATATTGGAAAAAGAGTGTTTTCTGCTGTGATAAAATAGTCCTCACTTTGCTAATGCCTATGTATCATAAATCCTTAGTGAATGTTGTATAACCTAAAACTGGATGTATTGTTCTTTAGATGACTCTAGTGTTGCAACTTGTTAGAAAAATTAAGTTCCAGGTTCTGTTATTTTGAAACATTTCCCAGTGTCTTCAAGTACTAAAATAATTTTGCATTGTCATTAGAGGTTCTGAAATCCCTTAAAACTGTTATTATCCCTCTTAACATAATTTGCTATGGAACAGACTGCTAAGGGGGTGCCTGGGTGGCTCACTTGGTTAAGCGTCTTGATTTTTTACCTCAAGTCAGGTCTTCATGTCAGGGTTGTGAGTTCAAGCCCCACTTTGGGCTTCATGCTGGGTGTGAAACTTACTTTGAAAAAAAAAAAAAGAATAAAGTTTTTATTGGTTAACATTTTTTCTAATACATTGCAGAACATTTTAGAGTAGCCTACTTTTGAACATTATTTAAACAGTTTAATTTTAGTGGCTTTTTCTAAATTCAAAAATGACATAATTTTTAATTAAAAGTTCTAACAGGCTCACTCATTGAAAGCAGTTCCAGACATTGCTTTCATGGTTTGAGTATTTTTGAATGCTTTGAGTTTAGAATTCATTCATATAACTTACTGAAAGACTGTTTTTTTCAGTAAGATTAGTTTTAAATAAACAGTTGAAGAGAGAAACTATTCTTGTTGATAGAACGGTATCGTCCAATGTACTTTTAAATCGTAAGAAAATGAATGAAAATTTCTCATTTTAGATCCCTAATAGGCCAGATAAGAAAAAAAGAAGATTGAATTTAATGAATAGTAATATATGCATTGATCTATCTTGTGCTTGTAATGGGAGCTGATAATTCCTAACAAAAAAATGTTAGCTGGAATGTTACAGCATTTAAACAAAAGTTTATGTGAGTAGGACTAGGATAAGAGAAAAATTTGGAAATTGTTCCAGCTAAGCAGGGATGAATAAGTGTAGGCATTGTTTTTCACATTATTTTCTGTTAACTTTTAAGATAACATCAGAAAGTAACTCATTCTCTTCACTTTTCATAAGGAAATTCAAATGACAAGTAATAAACTTTACAATAATTTGAAAATGACTTAATTTACGATTGGCTTTTTGAAACCTATATTGCATTAAGATTTGTAGATTTCAAACATTACACTACATGTGTATTATAAATAGTATTATAAGTAGTTGCAGGTGTGGACATCTCAACTGTCTATATAGAGAGATTTTTACTTGACTATACATTTTGAAAAATTTTGAAAGTTCTGCATTTCTAATCATGAGTGGCTTATTAGTGAACTGTTGGTAAAGTGAAAGACTAGTTGTGTTCTCTGCTCCTCAGATGGCCTGGCCTGGCTTAAGTGGGTTTCTCAATTAATATTTGTTAAATGGATAAATAACCAGTACTTGTGTAGGAAACAGAATTGGCTGTTTGCAATATTTGGGCTTTTTCAAAAGATAATCTTGATTCATATCATTGTGAATGTTTAAGGGTACTGATTTTATAACTTACTGTTTTTGAACAGTAACTTTTTAAGGTGTGTTAAGTGTTTTTGATTAACTGTATGTCTGAAGGGGGTATGGCTTTAACAAAATACTTTAAAAATAATTTGTGTTTAGTGGCATTGTTAAATTTTATATTACTGCAGGCATAATTGTTAATTACTTTTAATGTTCTTTGAAGAACTAATGTTGAAATTTAATTACTTAGGTGAATTTGATTATACTAGTTTTAATTTCAGATACATCTTGGAAACTTTACAAATTGAAGAAAATCATGCTAATAAGCTTATGTGATAAAATCAAATTTTGTGGAACGTTTCCAATATAATACATGATCACATCTGCTTTGATGAGTTTATCAGATTATTTCATCATTCGTTTTATAGGCGTATTCTCCATTCTAAAGGAGAGCTAAGTGAAGATAGACATAAACAGTATGAGGAGTTTGCTATGTCGTATCAGAAGTTGCTAGCAAATTCTCAATCCTTAGCAGACCTTTTGGATGAAAATATGCCAGATCTTCCTCAAGACAAACCAACACCAGAAGGTAAGATAACCCTAAAAACATTGTGATTTTTCCACTAAGCACTATCCCTTATCTTTACTTTTTTTAGATGTATATCATTAAAAATTTAAGTTTTCAACATGCATTTAGAGTTTTTTAAATGAAGTAGTATTAAGATCTAATAAGAACTTTGAAAAGCTACTACTTGAAATGCTCCTCTGAATAGAGAAGGTTTGGCACTTAACAATAGTTAACTCATATGATCTTATGATGTATTCCTCTGGGTTCTTTTGTATTAAGTATCTTTGGATTATATCCAACAGGGACCTGTCTGAAAACCATACTTGGGGTTATAGAAAGATTCACTTTCTTTCTCAAAGAGGTAATAAAGTGGATTGGATCTTTGGGATTCTAGTTTTGTTTTTTTTTAAGTTTATTTTATTTATTTTGAGAGAGAGCATGAGTGGGAGAGGGTCAGAGAGAGAGGGAGAGATAGAATCCCAAGTAGTGTCCAAGCCGTCAGCACAGATCCCAACACAGGGCTCAATCTCACAAACTGTGAGATCGCAGTCTGAGCCAAAACCAAAAGTCAAACACTTAACCAACTGTGCCACCCAGGTGCTCCTCTAATATTTTTATATGTTCCTTTTTTTTTTTTTTTTAAAGTTTATTTATTTTGAGAGAGAGAGCGAGCGAGAGTGGGAGGGGCAGATAGAGGGAGAGCGAGAGAATCCCAAGCAGGCTCTGTACTGTCAGTACAGATCCCAATGCGGGGCTTAAACCCACGAACCGTGAGATCATGACCTGAGCTGAAACCAAGAATCAGACACTTAACAAATTGAGCCACCCAGGTACAATATTTATCCTTATTTTTAATCCATTGGTTTTGAATGATACATTATCTTAAACTGTTATTTAGAAGTAAAACTTGCTGTTTTGTGAGGTAAATTTTCATTTTGTGAGACGGGTTGTTTTTTATATTATTTCAAAGGTGTTTTAAAGTTACTTTTTTGATTGCCCTTAAGTTGGTAGGGCTCTTAATACATTAAATCTGTCATACCAAGTAGTTGATGAACGAATTATATTTATGTTTGTAGATGTATTGATACGTCACTAATCTTGAAACTATCTGGCACTTCTGTTCACTTAAAAATTTTAAGAGTATAAAGTATTTGTAAGGTATCTTTTTATAGCACAAGAGTTATTTTGTATTTTGTATCAATAAGAAATATGTTGCATGCCTATATATGCATTTATTTTATTTACATTTAATTATGTCTATAATTCCTACTAATTTTTATATCTCTTGATCAGTGAGCCTCAAACTTTTTTATTTTTTAAAAGAAGTTCCACGTGGGGCACCTGAGTGGCTCAGTCAGTTGACTGTCTGACTCTTGTTCTTGGCTCAGGTCATGATCCCAGGGTCTGCACTGACAGTATGGAGCCTGTTTGGGATCCTCTCTTTCTCTTCCTCTCCCCCTCCCTTGCTCACACATGCATGGAGTCTAGATGCAGGGCCTGATCTCATGAAACATGAGATCATGACCTGAACTGAAACTGAGAATTGGATGCTTAACTGAGAGTTGTATGCTTAGCCAGCTGAGCCACCCAGGTGCCCTGTGTCATCATTTAAAAAAAATTTTTTTTTCTTAATGTTTATTTATTTTTGAGAGAGACAGAATGTGAGTGGGTTAGGGGCAGAGAGAAAGGGAGACAGAATCTGAAGCAGGCTCCAGGCTCCGAGCTGTCAGCACAGAGCCCAATGTGGGGCTCGAACTCACGAGCTATGAGACCATGACCTGAGCCGAAGTCAGATGCTCAACCGACTGAGCCACCCAGGCGCCCCGCTATGTCATCATTTTTAAAAGATATTTTCACCAGGTATAGAATTTTAGGGTGACCTTTTTTTTCCTTTCAATACTTTTTTGCATATGGTGTATTTTTCTTCTGGTTGTTTTAAAATTTCTTTATTGTCACTTAATTATGATGTGGTTTGGTGTGGTTTTTTGTATATTTCTTGTGCTTGGGATCACTGGACTTCCTGAATCTGTGAGTTTACAATTTTCATCAAATTTCCCAAACCTTGACCCTTGTTTCTTCAAATATGTTTTCTGTATTCTTCCACCTGCTATGGAGATTTAGTTACAACTCTCAGGTAGTTTGAAGTTGTCTTTTTTATTCTTCAGTACTTTTTTGTCTATTTTTGTATTGGATAGTTTCTCTTGCTCTGTCTTCAAATTCATTAATCTTTCTTTTTACAGTGTCTAATGTACTGTTAAACTTATATAGAAATGTAGTTTTTATCTCTGGAACCTGGTTATATTTTCCATGGTCCTGAACATGCTCAGTTTATCTTCTAGTTTGTTGACTATATGGAAATAGTTATAATTGTTTTAATTTGTCTACTAATTTTATCATTTAAGTCATTTCTGCATTGATTTTAATTGAGTGATTGCTATAGCTCTTGTATTTTTTCCTACTTCTTTGCATGTCTGATCATGTTTACTGGGATGACTGCTGGATATTTTTGTATTCTTAGAAATATCATTGAGCTTCATTCTGGAGCATAGTTAAGCTACTTGGAAAGTTTTATCCTTTTCAGGTTGGCTTTGTTAGGTCAGAACAGCTGTTAGTCTAGGGCCAATTTTCCATATTACAGAGGCAATATTCCTCTGTACTCTACCTGATTTCCAATGAATTGGAAGTATGAGTAGTTATTTTCCCAGTCTTACCCAGTCCCTCACAGGTAGGGGCTGATCAGTATTCGGCTGAACATTCAAGGGGAGCTTTCTGCTGATCTTTGAGGTCTATGTGCTTTCTCCTCTCTGGTATTGTGTCCTGCAGTATCTAGCCACGTTGACTAGAGTAGTCTTGCGAGACTCAGCTCTGTCCTCAACTCAGGGGGACTGCTGGGGTCTGCCTTGCTTCTCCCTTACTTGGCTGTAGCCCTGAAAATCTTACCAGGCAGTAGTAAGCTAGGGCACTTAATTGTTGGGCTCAGCTTTTTTGTTTCTTCTCTGTAGGAATCACTTACCTGTGCTATCTGATGTTGTGTTCAAAAACTTGTATATATTGTTTGGTCTTTTTAGTTGTTTTAGGTCACTGGTACCCCATCCTGGCCTGGAGAAGCCTCAGCTTTTCAGTAATCAGAATGCCTGTTCTTGCCATTCAGAAATGAGATCGTATTATATACACTATTCTGCAACTATTTATTTTTTATTTTACTTCTTATGTTTTAAGTTTTTATTTAAATTCCCGTTAACATACAGTCTAATACTAGTTTCAGGTGTACAATATAGTAAATCACCAATTCCATAAGGTATGTGCATTTTAAGTTTTAATATATAAAGTTAGGGACGCCTGGGTGGCTCAGTTGATTAAGTGTCTGACTTAGGTTCATGTCATCATCTCATGGTTTGTGGGTTCAAGCCCCACATCGGGCTCTGTGCTGATGGCTCAGAGCCTGGAGCCTGTTGCAGATTTTGTCTCCCCATCTCTCTCTGCCCCTCCCCTACTCACTCTCTGTCTCTCTCTCAAAAATAAACAAACATTAAAAAAATTAGAAAAATGTATATATATTTTTAAATATTCTTCCAAAGAAATTTACATGCTACTAGCTATATGACAATGAGTGTTTCCTTAGACTCTTATTATAATGTAGTTGTTGATTTTTACCTTCTGAGTGAGGTTGAGTATCCTTTTCTTTAGGTTTATATTGGCTGTTTTATATATGTTTCTCTGTGACATACTGGTTTGAATCCTTTAACTCTTCCTTTTCATTTTAATAAAATATGTATTTTTAATCAAGTTGTAAAAGCATTTTGCATATTAAAGAAATTATTCTTTGTCACATGCATTACAAATAGTTTCCTGTGATTATCTATTGCTTTTTTTTTTTAACTTGGTAGCATTTGTTTGCTTCTCAGAAGTTGATTTTTCACAGCTTATGATTACTATGCAAATACATTTTTCATATATGTAAAATATTCGTGCATATTATAGAGTGGAAAGTGAAAGTCTCCTAGCATATGCATTCCATTTTCCAAGGTATCTGTGGTACAGTTTGATATGAATCTGTCCAGACTCTTGTTTCTATAAAATATTTATGTAAAATATATAATCAGATATTGAGACATAGCTTGTTAATTTATGTAGTATGTTATTTTGCATGACTTGCTTTTCTCTTTCAATAACATATTTTTTTTTTTTTTTTTCAACGTTTATTTATTTTTGGGACAGAGAGAGACAGAGCATGAACGGGGGAGGGGCAGAGAGAGAGAGGGAGACACAGAATCGGAAACAGGCTCCAGGCTCCGAGCCATCAGCCCAGAGCCTGACGCGGGGCTCGAACTCACGGACCGCGAGATCGTGACCTGGCTGAAGTCGGACGCTTAACCGACTGCGCCACCCAGGCGCCCCTCAATAACATATTTTTGAGAACCTACTGAGTCTGTTCAGATAGATACATCTCATTTTTTTTAGCATCTGATTAATATTAAGAGTGTATAAATATCAGCTGTTATCTTATTGGTAGATACTTAGATTCTATCCACTTTTGCTCTGTTACAAACAGTGCTATAGTCAACCTCTTTGTGAATCTTACTTCACACTTCCGTTATTTCTTTGGTATAAATTCCTAGAAGGAATCCTACGGGATCAAATATTATGCTTAATTTAAATATTGATAAGTACAGACAGATTACATCCCCTTAATGTTGTATTAATTTATATTCTAGATAAGATATGAGAGGGGCGCCTGGGTGGCTCAGTCTGTTGAGCGTCCAACTTCAACTCAGGTCATGATCTCGCGGTCTGTGAGTTCGAGCCCCGCGTCGGGCTCTGTGCTGACCGCTCAGAGCCTGGAGCCTCTTTCGGATTCTGTGTCTCCCTCTCTCTCTCTGACCCTCCCCCATTCATGCTCTGTCTCTCTCTGTCTCAAAAATAAACGTTAAAAAAAAAAAAAAAGAGATACGAGAGTGCTTACTTCCCTACTGTCTTGTTAGCATTTAATGATATTAGTCTTTGTTAAACATAATCTAATGGGTGAAAATGATAAATGTTTGTTTCATTTAAACCTTTAAATATAAAACATAATCATAAATATAAAACACTAAATATAACACTTAAATATAAAAATTAATAAAGCCCCTGAACAGGTAAGTAAAAGAGTATAGGAAAAGAACCTTAACCTCAGTACTCAGTACTCAGTACTCAGGTATTATTAATGAATATTAATGATATTAATTTCTTTGTATGAATATTGCTAGTATTGTCTTCTAGTTTGTCCTTTGCTTTTGTTTATATTTTTCATTAAACAGAAGTTATAAATTTATCACTCTTTTCCCTTATAGTGTATGGTTTTAGTGTCTTGTCTTTAATATATTTGGTATAAGGCGTATAAGTAATGCATCAGGGAGCCAGCGTTCTGTTGTTTTTGCTCTTGTTCTTATGAAATGAATACTTTTAAAAGTTTACTTATTTATTTTGAGAGAAAGAGAGCGAGAACGGGGGAGGGGCAGAGAGAGAGAGAGAGAGAGAGAGAGAATCCCTGATGCAGGGCTTGAACTCACGAACCGTGAGATCATGACCTGAGCTGAAACCAAGAGCTGGATGCTTAACCAACTGGGCTACCCAGGCACCCTTCTTATGGTTATTTTCACTGTACATCATCATTCTCCACTTTACAGTTGTGGTTTGGAGAGAAGCACAGTGAGAACAGATAAATTTGTGAATGGTCTCATGATCATGAAGTTGGAAATTAATTCTCCTGATCTGAGTTTAAGAATTTAAAAAAAATTTTTTTTCAACGTTTATTTATTTTTGGGACAGAGAGAGACAGAGCATGAACGGGGGAGGGGCAGAGAGAGAGGGAGACACAGAATCGGAAACAGGCTCCAGGCTCTGAGCCATCAGCCCAGAGCCTGACGCGGGGCTCGAACTCCCGGACTGCGAGATCGTGACCTGGCTGAAGTCGGACGCTCAACCGACTGCGCCACCCAGGCGCCCCAAGAATTTTTAGTTGTATGTAAAAGGTAGAGCGTGTGTAGGTGCATGTATGTATGCAAATGTGTGCATGGTTTTCTGTCTTCTACTGAAATATCTATATATTTCTTCATCTTTTCTTCCATTATTTCCTATTTCTTTATCAGTTGACCATTTATAGGAATCTGCCTTATACTGTGGGAGATATGGATGTTTTAGGAATGGCCAGGCTTACATATTTCTTATTTGGCTTTTAAGTTTCATGAAAGTAGGCCTATATATCAAATGGCTACTTAATCTGACAGTAATTGCTTAAAACATTTATGAAAAAACATCTTTCTCATATGCTGTCTTCTAGTTTGTCCGGATTTAGAGCTTTACTTAAAACACAGTTTATGATTTGATGTTAAAGATGGTCTTGTGAACAATTCAGAGTGTTTGTTGATTGAAGAAGCTTTTGTTAACACTCAAGGTTCATTAGTTGTGAAATTGAAAATATAAAATATCTTGTTGCTGTGTGGTTTTACACACTAAACCTGAAATGGTTTTAATTCCCTGTGGCTTATTTTATTATAGAGCATGGGCCTGGAATTGATATCTTTACACCTGGTAAGCCTGGAGAATATGATTTGGAAGGTGGTATTTGGGAAGATGAAGACGCTCGGAATTTTTATGAGAACCTCATCGATTTGAAAGCTTTTGTTCCTGCCATCTTGTTTAAAGATAATGAGAAAAGTTGTCAGAATAAAGATTCCAACAAAGATGATTCCAAAGGTAAATTCTAGAGGATAAATATTTACATTAAGTGCTGTAAAAATTGGTTTCAAAATAGTATTTGTAAAAGGTTTTTGTTTAGTTACTAGTTTTACAATATGAACATTGAGTCATTAGATGAAATGAATGACAGAATAATATGCAACGGAGCATGAAAGGGTGATAAGTGACAGTTTCAGCAATGCTAAAACATTTATGTTAATGTGAAATAATTTGAAAAAAATTTTTTTTCACTTTTAAATTTTTTGAGATGGTGTGAGCAGGGGCGAGGGTCTGGAGGGGGTAGAGAGAGAGAGAGAGAGAGAGAGAGAGAGAGAGAGAATCTTAAGCAGTCTCCATGCCCAGCACAGAGCCCAATGTGGGGCTCTATCCCCTGATAGAGGCGCCCCCAGATAACTTGTTTTTAAATGTACTTTTGTATTCTTTTTTTTTTTTTTAATGTTTATTTGCTTTTGAGAGAGAGTGTGCATGAGTGGGGGAGGGTCAGAGAGCGAGGGAGACAGAGGATCCAAAGTGGACTCTGTACTAACAGCAGAGAGCCTGATATGGGGCTTGAACTCACAAACTGTGAGATCATGACCTGAACCAAATTCAGATGCTCAACTGCTCAATCATCTGAGCCCCCCGGGCGCCCCTGTACTTTTGTATTCTGATACATTTATTAGGGAACCCATTTAAAAAAATAATAGCTAGTGGGGCACTTGAGTGGCTCAGTCAGTTAAGCATCTGACTTCGGCTCAGGTCATGATCTCGTAGTTCGTGGGTTTGAATCCCTCATTGGGCTCTATGCTGACAGCCTGGAGCCTGCTTTGGATTCTCTGTCTCCCTCTCTCTCTGTCCCTCCCCTGCTCACACTCTGTCTCTCTCTCTGTCTCTCAGAAATAAATGTTAAAAAAAATAAAATAAAATAATAGGTAGTAATTTTTATTTGATGATCACTTCATGCCAAACATCATTTTAGTACTTCAAAATATAATTGAAAAATTATTTAATTCTCATAATAACCCTGTGAGGCAGCCACTGTTGTTACCCTGTTTTCTCATGAAGAAACTGTGGCACAGAGAGGTTAAGTAACTACCCAGGGTTAAGTAACTTACACAGCTAGTACATGGTAGATCTGAAATTTCAGCCTCATTAATTAATGACTTGGGCCCTTAATTACTGTGTTCTACTGGTTTTCAGGTTATGTTAAGATGAGTAATTTCTGTGCCTTACACTAAAACTAGGAAGTAGTATTCTTTGCTTTGATGTATGAGTATTATAACACATACATCCAGAGCATTCCATTCATTACTCCTGTACCCATTGAGCAGTTTCTCTCCATTCCTCCCTTCCTCTAGCCCCTGGCAACTACCAGTTTGCATTCTGTGTCTATGGATTTATCTATTTTTAGTGTATCATATAAGTGGAATCACGTGATGTATGTATGATCTTCTGAGCTTACTTCTTTTACTTATGTTTTGGAGGTACACCACATTGTGCATTTATCAATACTCCATTCTTACTTATGAATGAATTATATTTCATTTTGTGTATATATCACAAATTATTTTTCCATTTATCCATGGGTGGACTTTTGAGCTGTTTCACATTTTGGCCACTGTGACTTGTGCTGCTGTGTCTGAGTCCCTATTTTCAATTTGTTGTGTATACACCTAGGAATTGTAGGGTTATATGGTAATTCCATTCTTTAAAATGTTTATTCATTTAATTTTTCTTAATGTTCATTTTTTGAGAGAGAGGCAGAGTGTGAGCAGGGGAGGGGCAGAGAGCGAGGGAGACACACAATCTGAAGCAGACTCCAGGCTCTGAGCTGTCAGCACACAGCCCGACTTGGGGCTCGAACCCACAAAGTGTGAGATCACCACCTGAGCCTAAGTTGGACGCTTAACCAGCTGAGCCACCTAGGCGCCCCTAATGTTTATTCATTTTTGAGAGAGAGAGTGCATGTGCGCACATGTTTGGGCAGGGGAGGGGCAGAGATAGAGGGAGACAGAGAGTCCCAAGCAGGCTGTGCACTGTGAGTGCAAAGCCCAGCATGGGCTCAGAGTCATGAACTGTGAGATCACAATCTGAATTGAGAACAGGAGTCAGATGCTCAACCAACTGAGCCAGGTACCCCTGTTTCTGTTTTTGTTTTTGTTTTAATTTAAGTGTAGTTGACATATAATATTATATTAGTTTCAGGTGTACAACATTGTGGTTAGAATATTCTTTATGTTGTGTAGTGCTCACCACTGTAAGTGTAGTTATCATCTGTCCCCATACAATGTTATTACAACAACTACTGAATGGGAGAAGATACTTGGAAATGATATATTCGATAAGGGGTTAATATTCCAAAATATATAAAGAATTTCTACAACTCAACACCAAAAAACCAAATAATTTGATTAAAAAATGGGCAGAGGACCTGAGTACACATTTTTCCTAAGAGGACATGCAGATGGCCAATAGATACATGAAAAGATGCTCATTACCACTACTCATTAGGGAAATGCAAGTCAGAACCACAGTGAGATACCACCTCCCACCAGTCAGAATGGCTAGTATCAAAAAGGCAAGAAATAACAGGTTTTGGTGACAATGTGGACAAAAGAGAATCTTTGTACACTGTTGGTAAGAATATTAATTGGTGCAACTATTATAGAAAACAGTAGGGTTTTCTCAGAAAATTAAAAATAAGAACACTATACAATCTACGATTTCTACTGTTGGGTATTTACCCAAGGGAAACAGAAATACTAATTTGAAAGGATATATGCACCCTCTTTATTGCAGTACTATTTATAATAGCCAAAATGTGGAAGCAAACTTAAGTGCCCATTGATAGATAAATAAAGATGTGGTATATATATAAAATGAAATGTTAGTCATAAGAAAGAATAAAATCTTGTTATTTGCAGTAACTTGGATGACCCTAAATAAGTGACAAAGACAAATACCATGTGATTTCACTTACATGTGGAATCTCAAAAATAAAACAAACAAGAGAAAAAGAAAAAAAACAGAAATAGATTTATTAATACATCTAAAAAACTGGTGGTGGGCATAGGGAAGGGGTGCAGAGGATGGATGAAATAGGTGAACAGGATTAAGAGATACAAACTTCAGTGTTTAAATTTTAGAACTCCCAAACTCCGTCGCACAGTGGCTGAACCCTTTTAACATTCCTAGCAACCATGTACAAGGGTTCCAGTTTCTCTACATCCTTGTCAACACTTGTTATTGTATGATTTTCTTTTTGATTATAGCCATCTTAGTGGGTGTGAAAATGGTATTGTGGTTTTGATTGCATTTCCTAATGGCTAGTGATGTTGAATCTCTTTTCATGTGCTTGTTGGCCATTTGTCTTCGTTGAGGAAACAACGACATGGACAAATCCTTTGTCCATTTTTTTTAGAAGTTTTTTAACGTTTATTTATTTATTTTTGAGAGTGAGAGCACACAAGCGTGAGAGAGGCAGGCAGAGGGGGAGAATCCCAAGCAGTGTTGGCACAGAGTCTGACACGGGGCTTAAACTCCCGAACTGTTGAGATCATGACCTGAGCTGAAACCAAGGGTCAGGGGCCAACTGACTGAGCCACCCAGGCTTCCCACTTTTGTCCATTTTTCAATCGAGTTATCTTTTTGTTGTAAGTATTTTTTAAATATTCTGGATAGTAGACCCTTACCAGATTTCCAGATATTTTTTCCCATTCTGAAGACCGCCTTTTTACTTTCTCGATTATCCTTTGATGCATAAAAGCTGTTTTTTTAATATGTTAGACTTAATTTTTAAATTTAATTTTATTTATTTTTTTAATATCTAAAATTTAAAAAATGTTTTATTTATTTTTGAGAGAGAGTGAGACAGTGTGAGCGAGGGAGGGGCAGAGAGAGAGGGAGACACAGAGTCCAAAGCAGGCTCCAGGCTCTGAGCTGTCCGCACAGAGCCTGATGCAGGGCTCAAACTCATGAGCGGCAAGATCATGGTCTGAGCCGAAGTCACATGTTTAACCGACTAAGCCACCCAGGTGCCCTTAGACTTCATTTTTTAGAGCTGTTTTACGTTCACAGCAAAACTGAGCAGAAAGTACACAGTTCCCATATCCTCCCTCCCCCCGCCCCCCGACATGCACAGCCTCCCTCATGGGCAACATCCCCACCACAGTGGTGCATGTGTTACAGGTAACACATGTAATAACATATCATTATCACCCAGACACAAAAGTTTTTAACTGGGAAAAAAAAAATTGAAGGATTAGTTTTGTTCTTTTTTTCCATATGTAACATATTAAATGGGGGATGGGGCGGTGCTGGTTAGAATACTGATTGGAAGAAGAATAATAAAACCATTTCTTAACTTTTTATAACATCCTTCAGAATCTAAGTTAAAATACATTGAAAATTAGGGTATTATTGTGAAAAAGGTAGTTGGGGTCATCCTATGGTGAAAACACCTTACAAGGGGCCCCTGTGGTACTTTGAAAATATAAAAACCTTGGTTGATCTCAAAGACGTTCTTACCTTAAGGTAAATTTTACTTTATATTTTTTGAAGAATAGTGTTGAAATATTTGAAATATTTCAAAAAGTATAGGGAAAAAAAAAATATATATATATAATGCTCATTTTAGATGCCTCCTCCCCAGTTTTGTCAGTTAAAATTTTTCAGAAGGTATCTTCTCGTGTATAGAGTTGAAGTCCCGAGTGAGGAGTAGTTTCTAAAATATTAGTCACCTCAATAATTCTTACAGTTTTAAGGATTTGAAAATTTTGTGTGATTTTTGCCATGGTCTGGGTTTTTCGTATCATCATGCAAGTTTGACTTACTTGAAGGGTTCTGATATTTGTTTCTCTTTGAGAAGTGGGTGTAGGACCTCATCCTCTCATGTGAGATAATGTACTGAGAGCCACGGGTGAGACAAATATGAACACAGGGTCTGTGGCCTTCATGGTCACATTAGTGGGGAGCAGCCAGGGCTCAAAGAATTCTAATGTGAAGGAGAGTAGGTGTGGGGCCTTAGGACAAGTACAAAAACTGTGACAGTGGAGGCAGTAACCATGGTTGTAGATCAGATAAAACTCTGGAAGAAATGGAACTTGTGACAGACTTTGAAGTTTGGCTTGGGTTTTGACAAGAGACGGCGTGGACCTTCCAAGTAGAGACAATGGCATGAAAAAAGATATTGAAGCTGGAAATGATTGAGTATATTTGGAGAGGAAGTAAGGATCAAATAATTCATTCTGTCTTTTTAGAGGATGTAATAAATAGGAGAGTAGGGGAAATTGGTTTGGACTATCTTGCTATAGACCGTGAATACCATTTAATTGAAGTTTGTATAACATGGATGCATAGATGTGATCAATAAGCAGCTTACTGTTACTCTGGTTACTTTTTGTTAAAGTTTACTCTAGTCAGTGACATACAGCATAAAGTAAAGTGGAAATATGGTGTGGACTGGCCAGGTTTCTGTTTTAGTAATGTTAAGAGGTCTGTTATAGGAGCAGTAACAAGAATGAAAAGAAAGGGATATGGTCTCACATACAGATAATCAAGAATGAATAAATCAGATTTGGTGACTGACTAAATAGTTGAACTTCAAAAGAAAGAAAATGCCCTTGTATTTGGTAGAGGTATTTTGTGGATAAAAAATTATAGGACAGTTTCCACCAGTAACTGGTTTGAACTTAAGGAATCTCTCACGGCCTTTCATTCTTACCAGCATGATAGAAAATTAATCTTCCCATGGGGCGCCTGGGTGGCTCAGTTGTTAAGCATCCGACTTCAGCTCAGGTCATGAACACAAGGTTTGTGAGTTCGGACCCTGCTGTGCTGACAGGTCAGAGCCTGGAGCCTGCTTTGAATCCTGTGTCTCCATCCCTCTCTGCCCCTCCCCTCCCCTTCTCATGCTCTGTCTCTCTGTCTCTCTCAAAATCAAACACTAAAAATAAATAAATAAATAAATAATAATAATCTTCCCAAACTGCACCACCCTGAAATCTCTAACTTTAATATTTCTCTGTCCTTGCAGCTTACTTTCTCAGATCCCCTCATTGCCCCTCTTACTGTGCTTCTCTGAGACCTCTAGTCCATTGCGTGGCTCCCTTAATTTTGTTTTTTTCCATTCCATTAGTCTCCACATGCTTTCATTTACCTTTTTTTCTAGATTGCATTTAGGTATTCATCTTTAGTATTTCTCTTGTACATTCTTTCTCTTTCTGTCTTTCATTTATATATGCCTGTCAAGTTCAACCTTGGCTGAACTCAGTCATCCAACATACTGGTTTCTGTATCCAAACTTTTATGCTCTCCTAGATATAGAAGATCAGTTAGATAGCTTGAGAACTTGATAAATTCGTGGTCACCAACCTCATCCAGGTCCCCAACAGTGAATGGAAACTTGACAACATCTTTGTCCTCCGCTAACTCTCCCATACTCCAAACACATTTTCATTCTTTCTCCAGTTTCATTCGGCTTCCCAGCTTAGCAGATAATCATGTGCACGCTAGTACTTCATAGAGAAGATAGAAGCCATCACATAGAACTCCCTCAACATTGTGCCCCTTCTGATTTATAAATCTACCTGTCTTAGGGCTTCTAGAACGTTTCTTCCCTGGGTGATAAGGTGAACTTTTATACCTTCTGTTAAAGGCCAGTTCATCTTATTGCTCTGAATCTTGTCGCCCTCTTTCTTTCGAACCCGATTATAGTCCATCATCCATCCTTTTTTGATTTCTTTGGTATCAAACTCTCGGTCTCTCTGTCCTTTTCTCTACTGGATCTTTAATCTCACTATTCAAATATATTCTCATCTTTAAATTTTTTTTTTTCAACGTTTATTTATTTTTGGGACAGAGAGAGACAGCATGAACGGGGGAGGGTCAGAGAGAGAGGGAGACACAGAATCGGAAACAGGCTCCAGCCTCCGAGCCATCAGCCCAGAGCCTGACGCGGGGCTTGAACTCACGGACCGCGAGATCGTGACCTGGCTGAAGTCAGACGCTTAACCGACTGCGCCACCCAGGCGCCCCTATTCTCATCTTTATTTTTTTTATTTTATTTTCAACGTTTTTATTTATTTTTGGGACAGAGAGAGAGCATGAGCGGGGGAGGGGCACAGAGAGAGGGAGACACAGAATCGGAAACAGGCTCCAGGCTCTGAGCCATCAGCCCAGAGCCTGATGCGGGGCTCGAACTCACGGACCGCGAGATCGTGACCTGGCTGAAGTTGGACGCTTAACCGACTGCGCCACCCAGGCGCCCCAATTCTCATCTTTAAAAAACAAAACAGATCAAACAAGTTGTGAATACTCTGACACCTCCTGGGTCTCTCATCTCTTTCCATCTATCTTTTTTTAAGCAGTCCTTTTGAAAGAATTGGCTACGTGCAGATTCTTCACTTTCTTACTTCCTCCTTTAGTCTGCTCCAATCTGGCTTCAACCTCTCCTCTACCCTGAAACTGTTTTTGCCAAAGTCACCATCATCTTCATGTTGCTGTGTCTCATGAGCAGTTTCCAGTCTTTGTCTCATTTGATTTCTCAAACCATGCAGCACAGTTTACTATTTCCTTTGTGGGGCATTTCCTTTCCATGGCTTCTGTGGCACTAACCCTTCCTGGTTTTTCTTATTGTTTATCTTCAGCTTCACTTTCATTTGCCCTTTTAAGTGTCAGTGTTTTTCAGGGTCAGATAGAAGAGGAGGGAGCAGTCACTTTAGTAATATAGTTAATTCAACCTTTTAAATATATCTCAGATTGGTTTTATCCTTACAGCTACTGTTCTAACCTCAGGTGCCATCACCTCTGAACGTGGGCCACTATGTGATACTTCCTCCCTGGGTGCCCTGGATATGCTTTTGCTGCCTTGTATATATTCTAAAAAATTAATTTTACTCTAATGTCTTCTAATGGATTTGCATTTATTTGGAATATAATGTAAACTTAACATGGTCTCTTGAGCCCTGCATGGTTTGGTTTAGGTCTTCCTTTCCACTATCTGATACCACACTACTCTTACTTTTTTCTTTTCAGTGTCTGCAACGGACCATTTCTCTTGCTGCTTCATGGCCTTCATTCATTGTTCTGTTTTCTGCTTGGGGTCCTCTCCTCCCCTTCCCATACCCCTCTGACTCTCTCATGTAAATCGGCTTAATTTCCTTGGGTAGATTGTACATTTCTTGAGTGCAAGGGTCACATTTTAAGCTTTTTGTGAATATTCAGCAGCTTGGCATAGTTTTGGATACATAGTAGCTGATCATTTGGCTTTTGATAGGCAGACGTTAGAGGTCGCTGGGGAGTGAGTGTGAGTGTATGCTGCATGTGGGCAGGGTTTTCATCTGGTACAAAGTTGTATCCTTATTGTTTAGAACAGTAGTTAGCATGTAGTAGGAATTTAAGTGTTAGTTGAATGAAAAGGTTAATGAATGAGAAAAGTCTGCCTCCAATAGAGGCAGCAAAACCAATCCTTACTAGTTAAAGCTTTGATTCTTCCAAATATGGTGTGGTGTCATTTATCAGTGAAACATTTCTGCTTTCAATGCATAAATTATGAGATTAGAAGATGAGGGTGAGAAATATAATAATTTTAGTCAACACTGTAAGTCTACCACTCTTAAGCATAAAGTCTTGAATTTAGGATTGTTTGGTTTTTTATTTATGAAAATGTTCAAATACAAAAGCAAGGCTAGTATAGTGAACTGGCGGTTACCTATCACTTGGAAATAATGATCAACATTATGGCAATCTTGTTGAAATTGGGTTTAGTTCCTCTTTCTTTTCTATCTTTTTTATTGAGCCTTATTACCAACTGCTAGCCATTTTGCTTGTTTCTTCTAACCCCTGACATCTAAATCATAAGGATGTTTCCCTGATTGGTCTTTTTACATCTAATCTTTCCTTTCTTTCTAATTTATCTTGTATATTGTTGGTAAGTTAGTTTTCACAGCACTTCACATTTAATTTTTTTTAATGTGTATTTATTTTTGAGAGAGAAACAGAGTGCATGTGGGGGAGGGGCAAAGAGAGAGGGAGACACAGAATCTGGAGCAGGCTGTCAGCACAGAGTCTGACACAGGCTGGAACTCACAAACCGTGAGATCATGGCCTGAGCCAGAGTCGGACACTTAACCACCTGAGCCTCCCAGGCACCCCTTCATATCGCCTCAGGTTTCTGTGTTATCTCCTGGGGGTGCCTAGGTGACTTAGTTTGTTGCGTGTCTGACTTTGGCTCAGGTCCTGATCTTACGGTTTATGGGTTTGAGCCCCACAATGGGCTTGCTGCTATCAGCGCAGAGCCAGCTTTGGATCCTTTGGCCCCTCTCTATCTGCCCCTCCCTTACTTACACTCTGATAAAAATAAACATTAAAATTTTTTTTAAATGTTATCTTCTGCTCATGATTGAGTAAAGCTCATACTGCATAAAAGAGAAAGTCTTAACTTGTCATGGTGGAGTTTGGGACCCATCTTAATCTGAGTCCACTTTATCTAATCAACTTTATTTTCTTCCCATCTTTACTACAATTCTTCACGCCGTGTACGTCTCCTTCCTTCCTTCCTTCCATCCCTTCAGTAAATAGATGGCATATTGAATCAAAGAAGTTATGGTTTTTGTTCTCAATGAGTATACTACATTTTACAAAATCTGAGTATATTAAATATACGCTCAGATTTGTTACCAGGTATATATACAGGTTCCAGAACAAATGATGCAGATTTTATGAATCCTTACCTATTTTTTGTGTCAGGATTTCAGTATGACTTTTAATTCAGAGATACTGATTCTTTGTTTTCAAACAGAGGCAAAAGAACCTAAAGATAATAAGGAGGTATCGAATCCTGAAGATTTGGAACTTGAGTTGGAGAACCTAGAAATTAATGATGATACCTTGGAATTAGAAGGTGGAGATGAAGCTGAGGATCTTACAAAGAAACTTCTTGATGAGCAAGGTAAGCGCTATATTGCTAACAATTTAATTAAAACAATTTTTTTTTAATGTTTATGTTATTTTTGAGAGAGAGAAACCGCATGAGCAGGGGAGAGGCAGAGAGAGAGGGAGACACAGAATCCGAAGCAGGCGTCAGGCTCTGAGCTGTCAGCAGAGAGCCCAATGTGGGGCTTGAACTCACAAACCATGAGATCATGACCTGAGCTGAAGTCGGATGCTTAACAAACTGAGTGACCCAGGCACCCCACTAACGATTTAATTTTTAACTAAGCTTTATACACAGAACCCTTCGTTAAGAATATAGATCTTTACTCTGTAATTCCCTGTTTTCTTGTTTCTAGGCCTTCACTTTTTTGGATTTTAGGATTTAGAACAGAAACACCACATGTCCCATATAATGTGACTATATGCTTTAATGATCATCTACATTCTAAATATCTTCTTAATAGATATTTCTTACACTTCTTTACTTGCTAGTTTGTCCTGAATTTACTTTAATTCTGTGGTATAATCTTTACAGTCCTTTTTTTTGTTGTTTTGTTTTTTTGTTTTTTAAAAATTTTTTCTTAATCTTTATTTTTGAGAGAGAGAGAGATAGACTGCAAGTGGGGTAGGAGCAGAGAGAGAGGGAGACACAGAATCAGAAGCAGGCTCCAGGCTCTGAGCTGTCAGCACAGAGCCCCATGTGGGGCTTGAACTCCTGAACAGCGAGCCCACGACCCGAGCTGAAGTCGGACGCTCAACCGACTGAGCCACCCAGGTGCCCCTAATCTTTACAGTCTTAACATAAAGGTATTTAAAAGTTACTCTAAAATGGCTGAATTATAAAAAGACAACTAGTATATTAGTTGATCTGTTATATTTATATTTGTCTTTATAATTGAATAATGTTTTATATTTAATAATAAAAATGTTATACTATTAATTGTTTCCTAAATACTTCCATTGAGTTTATTAGTTAGGACATTTTTAATTGAAGTATAATTAACATATGGTGTTACATGGTTTTCAGGTGTACAGTGTAATAATTCAGTGATTCTGTATATTACTCAGTGTTCATCACAATAAATGTACTCTTAATCCCCTTTATCTGTTTCATCTGCCTCCCCATCTACCTCCCCTCTGGCAACCACCAGACAACAATTCTCTGTATTTGAGAGTCTTTTTTTTTGTTTGTTTGTCTCTTTTGTCTTTGTTCATTTGTTTCTTAAATTGTACATATGAGTGAAATCCCAAGGTATTTATTTGTCTTTCTCTGTCTAATTTCATTTAGCATAATACTCTCTGGGTCCATTCATGTTGTTGCACATGGCAAGATCTCATTCTTTTTTATGGCTGATAATATTCCATGTTATATGTGTACCACATCTTCGTTATCCATTTATTAGGATTTTTTTAATTAGAAGGATACCTTCTGTCAGTATTGCGTGCATATTTCTGTATTGGCTTCGTTGTTTGCTCCTGCAGATTTTCTTTTCTCTATATCCTGAAAGGGACGGTGGGCATGGCTGGAGGCTGCTCTAGGCCCAAATCCTTCCCGCCAGTGACATCAGAGGTTCTCCTTTCTCACTGTCAGTACTGAAGTGTCATGGAAGGATCTGGCTGTGTGTCATGACTGCCTGTGGCTGGGAGGAAGGTGGTGTGCTGTGCTTTGGCAGTGCCCTTCCCTGTCACATTCCCATGGGTTGCCTTCAAAGGCGAGCAGGTGATGGGAGTGCTGTCACTTGAAGACGTGGGGGAAGAGATGCTCAGCAGATAAAAATAACAAACTTACTGTCAAACTACGGGCAATTGTTTTTAAGTTTTTGTGTCTGGTGCAAAAGTTTGCCTTTTCATATTCAGTATCTGAAAGACTGTAATGACTTTGGGTTATGCTTCTAGAGATATCCAAACTTTAGGGTAATAGCTCAAAAAGGCTTTATTTTTTCACAAGTAAGAAAAGCTCTAGATTATTTCCCAAATAACTTATAATTGAATGTTTATATTCTTAGATTGTCTCTCTGTATTTTTTTAACCTATTTAAACACTAATTTTATATTAGAACAAGAGGATGAAGAAGCCAGCACTGGATCTCATCTCAAGCTCATAGTAGATGCTTTCCTACAGCAGTTGCCCAACTGTGTCAACCGAGATCTGATAGACAAGGTATAATTGTTTGTTTAACTTTATGCAAGCACATAAACCTTGTAGGATAGCTCTAATTAGGAATGTCTGTGGGTTTTGGACTGTTTTAGCCATAGAATGAACCATTTCTTCAAATGGAATCTTATATGAGAATACAAAATAAACATAGAAGATTGGAGCCAATTTGTAAGTGTTCTCTGAGTTGAGAACTATTTGTTATAGTCTGGAATGGTGTCTAGAATCCTGTTGGCCTGACACTTCTCCCCTTTACATAGGGACCCCAGAGTTTGGAAAATACGGTTTTAGACCAGAAGTTATTAAAGTATGCTTTGTCAGTTCTTGGAGTGAGTCTTCTGAGGTGCTTTCATGACGTTTTTAAGGTTAAAACTTTCATACTAATACTAGGGTTCTATCCTCCACTTTTCATTGTTTTTGACATTTGCAAAAGCAGCTGGCAGTTTGGCATTAGTGGGTGCAGTGGTAGCAAACTATAGCCTTTGTATTCTTCACTGCCATGAATTAAAAAAAGAGTGCTGCTTTCACTTAAGAATCTCCTTGATGACTGCATCAAAATTTGTGATTTTATTTCGTTTCAACCTTTGAGCACACATCCTTTTAATCTGAAAAAATGGGAATGGTGTGTAGGGCACTTTTGCTGTCTCAAGGTTGTCTTGAGAAAAACCACTTGTGTGATAGTTTGAGTTGCAAGCTCAGCTAGTTGCTTTTTTCATGGAATACCATTTTTACTTGGAAGAAGTACTTAAATAACCAATGGGCAAACTGTGGTTATTCAACCTTGGGTATTTAGCAGACCATTTTCTAACACGAACAAAGTGCGCCTCTCACTTCAAGGAAAATAACAAAGTATTACCAATGAACAAATCTGAGTTTTCAACAAAAGTTAGAATTTGGGAAAATTTAATGTCTGCCACCATAAATTTGATACCTTCCCAATTCTTTTCTGAAGAGACTTTATTGAGGAGATTGGCAGTGATATTAAATAATACAGTTCTAAAATGTTGTGTATGTGTGTGGAACATCTGCACAACTCAGTGAACCATTGTTCTCAGTGACCCCTACGCATTGTTAACAGAATCTTGCTTGGGTGTCAAAGATGCATTCAAAAGTACAAGATAGGCCAGTGGATTTTAATGTAACATGGCATGAAAAATTGATTTCTGTGGTTTTAGTTTCACATCGCAGCTAGCCCTTAAAAAACTGTCACTTGTCAAGTTTTGGTGTAGTATCAAAGAATATCTATGATTACTGGAAAGTATATTAAAATACACCTCCCTTTTTCAGCTATGTATATGTGTGAAGCTGGATTTTCTTTATTTACTTCATCCAAAAAAACAAATCACCACAGATTAAATGCATAAGTAGACACAAAAGTCTAGCTAACTTCGAAAAAAGTACTTTTGTCACTAAATTTTTTTTCATCTTGAAAAGTATATAGTTATTTCCCAAAAAAGTAACAACTAATAGGTTTGTTGGTATTTTTAAGTGAATTAATATTTTAAAAGTCTTTTAGTTTTAATTTCAGTACAGTAAATGTTGATAAATGTAACCCATATAAACAAAATTCTTTTAGGTTCTTAATATTTTTGAGAGTATAAAGTAAAGGGCTCTTGAGACCTAAAGTTTGAAAATTGTTGCTTTAAGCCATTTTTTTTGTTGAAGTTTATTAGAATTATTTTTTTTTCCCCTCATAATGCTTTGATGGTCTCCCATAGAGAATTATAGAAGTTAGTTTATTTTTCAACTTTGAACTCGTTTAGTCCTTCTTCAAATAATTTAGATGTATTTCAGTAACTATTTGTGTAATCGAGCAGGCTTGAAAAACTGTTTCCAAGTTGGTTTACTTCTTGGAATGATTAAATCAATGCATGACTTTCAAAAACTTAGTAAGTTTGAAATATGATTGAATCTTTCCCTTGCCAGATTTTCATATATTCATTCATATGACCTAAAAAGAGGATGAAAGAGAAATCTTGATACTCTGCTCTACCCCCGTACCCCATTTTGAGCATCATCATGAAAACTGAAGGTGGAAAGGGTCTCATCGGTTTTGTATACTAGTAGTGTTATTGTTCCAAGTGTGTATTGGAAAGTATCCTTTAGCGCCCAGTTCAGTATTAAGAGCTGTTGCCAGTAATGACTATATATTCAATTCGAAGTTGACTCTCAGAGTCAGGTGAAAAATAGGGGCCACTCTTCCCTGTTGGACCCCAGTGGGTTCCCCTGGGAGTCCGCTTCTTCATGAAGGGAATTTCTTCCCATATACATTTACAAAGGTGCAGTTGGCTTAAGAGGGAAAGGTACTTGGGAAACAGGTAGAAAAATCCAAGAATTGTTTGAATTCAGTAATTAGGTAACAATATAGAAATCAGAGTGAAGATTTTTTTTAAGTAACTTTCTATGGGTAATGTCATTCACGGTAGTTTATTTCTGCATATATTTGATGATTATAAGAATGTATTTTTACTAAATAAAATAAGAAATGATTGCTGGATTGTCTTTCATTGACCTAAAATGTTTTGAAACAGCTTTCAAAATACTGCTTATTGAGTTGTCACTTAGCTGTTGTTACCCAGACACATAACATCAGGGCGACCTCTTTGCTTCTTTCTCCCCATAGGACAGGACTAGTTAAGTCTGGGAATTCATATACACATGAAGCTTTTTTCTTTGTGGTTTTCTGAAATTTATTCATTCTGGCAGTCTTTCTACTCATGTCATCTTTTGTTTATTTATTGCATATATTTATTAAACCCCTACTGTGTGCCAAGCATTGACATGCTTTAGGGACTCCTAATCTGTGGAGATTTTTGAACGTTGTAGGTTTGTTCCCTAACTGACCTTTGATTATTGTGGTAGGTGAAGTGAATATTGCCTTCTCTGTCTTCATAAAATTTATTTAGATAGAATATGCAAACAACTTCTGTATTTTAAAGGATAGTGTTCTAAAGTAGTTATTGAAATACATTTTATTTTTCATGTTTTCTAATTTATGGTGAAATATACCCATTACTAGCTATTTAAAATTTTTCTTAATATCTTCACAAATTTTGCTTTGAGGTTTTTTCCCATGTTTGTGTGAGAAGTTTTCCAGTGTTAACCTATTTTATTTCCTGAGTTAACCTATTTCATTTTATTTCATGACTTGGGGTTTTTGTTTATTAGGTCCAGAATTTTTCAGTGTTTCATATGGGTGAATTGCTTGAAGGAAAATGTGTTATACTTTTATATTTTCTCTTTGTTATTTTAATTAGCTGTAATCTTTAATGTTATAAAATGTAAGCTTTAATAACATATTCTTTTTACAAGCGTTAAGAAAAATTTATTACTATTTTTTTAATTAAAAAAAATTTAAAAATGTTTATTTATTTTGAGAGAGATCAGTCATGAGCAGAGGAGGTGCAGAGAGAGAGGGGGAGAGACAATCCCAAGCATGCTCCGCACTGCCAGCATGGAGCTTGATGCAGGGTTTGAACTCATGAACCCAAGATCATGATCTGAGCTGAAACCAAGAGTCAGACGCTTAACTGACTGTGCCACCCAGGCACCCTGCAGAAGAAAAATTTAAATTGATTTTACTCTTTTGACTAATTCTTGATGTAAAATTTCCATCTTGATGAATACTTCCAGTGTGAGTCAGTTTCCTGAATTTGAATCTAGTCCGTGTTAGTTGTGCCATTTATTTCATCAAAAGATGTAACCAAATAGGAGGTGTTGCAGTATATTCTGTCTGTAGTGAAGAGTAGAAATCCTTTATAGTTCAGGGAACTCTATGGATCTTCTATTTGCATCTGATAATCAAGAGATTATCAGATTAGAAATTGGGATTAATGATAAAATAATCATTACAATGTGAGCCTATGGAAGGACAATATTTGAGATACTCAAAAGTATATTTAAAGGTAGTTTATTCCTATTTATTTTATTTATTTGAGAGAACGAGAGAGAGTGAAAGCACAGCAA